CCGGGCCTGCCGGGCAACCGGTCTGTTGAACCCCTCTCGGCCAACAACAGAAGCTCAAGACGCCCCAGTCGCCGCCGCAGGGCAGCGGCTACCACTGCTGGATCGGGAGATGAAGGAAAGGAAAAGCTAGCCTGGGGTGTGGGCATGTCCGCAGCCAACGGGCCTCGCCGTCTCAAGGATGCGAGCAACTCGCACAACTTGGCAGGACTCGGCGCGGCAGCGCATTACAGCAAGGCCCAGAGAGACGGAGGACGGAGAGGCTTCCGACGCGCAGGACCCGTTAGCTGGCATGGCCCCTATCGACAAGTTTGGAATCAAGGGCCTACGAACCATGATGAACAACAACCCAAGCTACGCTGCGTTGATGCATGGCATGGATCCCAATGACCTAGGGCTCAACGTGAACTCGCCAGAGTAAGCAACCACGTTCTGATGTTCATTGTTGAGTTCCACTGACGCGTGGCAGGCTCATCTCCACGCAACAATACTCGCTGTTCGACGACACACCGCCACGGCCTGTGGTGCCCAGTCACCGGCTGCCTGAGTGCTATCAGGTCACGAACGTGCAGCCGATAGAGACCAAGATTCAAAGTTTCAACGAAGAGACGCTGTTCTGGATCTTCTATAGCTGCCCCCAGGATGTGAAGCAGCAGCTCGCCGCATTTGAACTGTGCGTAAAACCCCTCTTTAACTAACAAAGCGTTGCTGACCTGGGGTAGGCACTCTCGCAACTGGAGGTGGCACAAGAAGCTGCACATCTGGCTGACAAAGGACGAAACCATGACGCCTCAAACGATCAGTCCTACCCATGAGCAAGGCTACTACGTCATCTGGGATATCCGCAACTGGCGGAAAGAGCGGGTGCGTCTTCAAACCTTTTGACTCGATGAAGCCGACCAGAATGAGACTGACACATGGTACAGAGAGAGTTGACCTTGCATTACGAGGATCTGGAGACCTCGTTGGGAAGGCCACCGGCGGCGTAAATGGCGTTCAGGACATTGCTATACCCTCGGACAAGCAGATGCAGACTCGGAGAAGTCACATGTGGCCTGGGTTGACATTTTTTTCGGTTCTCGACGGCATGGGAGCTGTACTCGTATCCTCAGGGACTTGGGCGCTGCTTGCTTCAGGGGCGAAGCTGGTATGGCAGAGGGGGGCAAAGGATCGCCTGGTTGGTTTTGCAAGTCGTATTGCTACTGTCGGTACACGAATGCATCATTACCATGCTGGCCATTGGCTGGTGACGGAATCGCATTCTCATTTGATCCCAGGACTGTCGTAGACATTTACAAGTGGTGATATTTCTGGTCGTGTGAGCCATGTATGATGCCAAGACGCATGATTGGGGAGGGGGGAGGGGGCCGATGAGGGGACTGGAAGATTCCGACTCAGTTTCCGCAACTGGCGGCGGGCTTACCCCAACTTGGGTGAAGTGACCATCTCCACAATCAACCCTGCTACCTGTGTGCTACCTTACTCTCTTTAAATTCATCAACAGAGCGAGTGGCTTTTCGCGCATCGCTCATCGGCTGTTCGACTTTTTGAATACACCGAGTCGATTTGAATCGCGGCGCAGAAGCAAGAAACGCCGGCTGCAATCATAACCCGACAGCGAGCACGAGACAACACCCAGCGTGGTGGTGACGTGGTCTCTCTCTCTCTCTCTCTCTCTCTCTCTCTCACGCACGCGCCCGTGCTGCTGCAGCCAAACTCTCCGAATTGCGACCCATCACCATCCCAGTCACAGGTATCCTGCCCTCCGACGGGGCAGCACACGAACAGGCACCATGGTCAAAGACGACAGCCAAACGATTTCGGTCCCGTACCTCCTCGTCCTCCTCGTCCTCGCAGCCGCCATCCTCCGCCTCCTCTTCTTCTCGAACTCGTCAGGCGACACCCCGCCCGCGGGTCGGCACAACCCGCTCAACGTCCTGCGGGCGCGCGAGACGGCCGTCGAGCGCATACAGCAAATGTTCCCCCAGGTCGAGCGACGGACCATCCTGTGGGACCTGCAGCGCAACGGAGGCAACGTGCAGACGACGAGCGAGAGGATCCTGGCCGGACGCATCGAGACGGTGAGCTCCTCCGTCTTCCTCTTCTTTCTTTCTTGTCTTCTTTGCCGGCTTCCTTCTCTTTACTGCTCGAAGAGCTACGGCGTAGACACTGCATACGCATCAGACATCAGGGTGAGGGGTGAAGCCGAGAATGTTCCGCGCTAACATTTGTGCCATAGCCTCCCATCACCTTCCAGCCCCCCCCTCCCGCCGGCGCGCCGGCCACGGGCTCCGGCAGCACGAACGCCGCAGCGGCGGCGCTGAAGCAGGCGGGCAAGCCGATGCAGCCGGATCTCATCACGCGCTACAAGCTGGAGGGCAAGATCGGGGCGGCCGAGGAGGAGCAGAAGAGGCAGCAGACCGGACGGGGAA